GTCGAGCTTCTTTTTCCGGCTGATCAGTTTCGGAATCTGGGTTTTTCCGGTGACGTCGTCGTGTTTTCTCTCAAGCTACTGAGTCAGTCGTTGAGTTGATTCAATCATCGTCGTTGTGGAATCGTAAGAGATCAAAAAAAGATGTTCGATGGTCTCTTAGGCCGTGGGTTTGCTCCTAAGGGGTTTGTCTTCTCTTCTCCGATTTCAATTCCGATTTCTACTCTTTTGTTAATGTCCGTTTTTCTTAATATTGATTGGGTTAATCGATTTTGGGATTTATACAGAAAACCACTGATAAAACTGACTAAGAATCGGATCGATGTTCTTCGGAGGAAGAGAAACGCTACGATCAGGTTTTTGAAGAAAGATTTGGCTGATCTAATTTCTAATGGCCTTGACCTTAATGCTTATAACAGGGTAAGTTATATTCTCAACGTTTGAGATTTGATTTTTGATTTTATTTTCATTGAGACTCAACGAAATTAGGGTTTTTGTTTGAATGATTCTTGTATCGTTTTTGATACACAGGCTAGTGGGCTTCTTGATGAATTAAGGCATCTATGGAATCTTGACTTTGTAGAGAAAACCTGTGATTTCGTATATAAGAATCTCTCTACCATGCAAAAGATTGCGTAAGTGTTAATGGTTTTTTTTTTCTGTTTTTTGGTTTCAGATTTTGTATAACTGTTTTTTGTTTGTCATTCTCCTGATATTTAGGTTATCTTAATAATAATATTTTTTCTTTTAGGATTCATGAGTAGTTGTTGTAACATACTCTGAGTAGATGAGAAATTTCCTTGCACCATTCTCTGACACATCAAACTGTTAGGTTTTGAAATTGAAGATCAGGTTCTGTGGATTATTTGTTTAAAAACTGAATATCTAAAACAAAAGTCATTACCTAATCATATTTTGGCATTTTGTTATTTACACTGTTCTTGTTCCTTAGTGATGTGATTTTGTTCTGTGGCTTAGTGGAACATTCTCAAAGATAATTGAAGTATTTTGTTCTAGGTGGAAACATGGTTATGTTCATTAGTTGATTTGCGCTTCGATTATTCCAGGGAATGTCCAGAAGATTGTCGTGAAGCTGTGTCGTCGTTAATGTTTGCAGCCTCTGGATTTTCTGAGTTACCTGAGTTGCGTGAGCTGAGGCAAATGTTTCACGAAAGATACGCAGATTCACTTGTATTGTTTGTCAACCAAGAGGTAAGCGTAGTGTATCCATTTCTCGGTTTACTCGTCTGGAAATCTTATACAGTATACATGGTTAAGCACCTTACTGGTTTCTTTTATAGCTTGTTGAGAGTATGTCATCGAAGCCATTTTCTTTGGAGAAGAAAGTGAAGTTAATGGAAGATGTTGCATTGGAGTTCTCTATTCGTTGGGATCCTAAAGATTTTGAGAAGAAGATTGCGAGACAGAATAGTAGTTCGATAAAGGTATGACGATAACTCGTTTGTTTTACGGGGCAATAAACTGAAATGTATGGATTGAGGCTGAATTATGATTCTCCTGGACATGAAACAGGAGACCCCAAAGAGCAATTTTGACAAGTACAAGCTTGTAGACAAAAACATGGCAATGCCAAAAAGAGAAGTACATGAACCGATATTTACCGATGGTGACACTATAGTAATGAAGCTCAAGCGTGAGAATCAGCATGGGATAACGCCTAAAGAAAGGTGGGATAATGTTCGTCGCAGCTCCAGATCGGAAAGCAAGGAGAATAAAGCTGAAAGGAAGGAGTTTTGTTTGCAATCTAAGCAAGAATCTTCTAGAGAAAGACATGAGCCTATTTTTAACGAAGGTGACACTATAGTGATGAAGATCAAGCGTGAGAATGGACATCAAAATGGTGAGGCTGATGCGTGGCCTAAGAAAACAGATGTTATTGCCTCAGAGACACCAAAGCCTAGCAGCACCAAAAAACCCGACAAGTTAGTTCTCGGCTTTAAACAAGAGAGTTTCTTTCAAGGATACAAACACGAGATTCACGAAGAGCATGCACCTCTGAAAGCGGAAGATAACATCTCAAGACCTCCAAAGCCAAGTAGCAAGTCGAAGAGAACAGAATCTTTAGATTCAGTTCGTAGACATCGTAATGACTGGGAGAGTAGAGACAATGCAGTTCTTGTTGGAGAGAACACAGAAAAAGATTCATCTAGTGGTAACGTCAAGGATGGTGATCATGCAAATCCAGCAAGGAAAATCGAGGAGCGAGAATCAGAGAGAATGAAATCACAAATTTACAAATCCCTTCCACCTCCGTATGTTAAACCTAGTGGTAAACCAAAGAATGATAAAGCTGAAGCTTCAGTTTATCCAAAGGCTCGGTTTGATGGCGAAGAAGGAAACCATCCAGAGATTGATAAGAATGTTATCCGCGTCGAGAGAGGAAATGAAGCAGATTATGACATAGATAGTCAATCTCTGAAACGGCGATCTAGTAGAAGAAAACACATCTTACAATCAGGTGATGGTGATGATGATACCAGAAGCCGAAGAAAAGAAAACTCGAGGAAAGGCCTTCAAGTCTTAATCGATGATGATGAGAAGGACAGTGAGGAAAAGATGATGGATAAGCTTCTCATGCATTACAGTAAAAAACCTTCGAGTTATGAAAATAACAATGTGCAACAAGAATCCAAAAGCAGACGCTCACATCTTAAAAAACCCGAATGTGAAGAGATGATGATTCATCAGCCCGCACGGTCACGATCTCTCCCCAGTGAACAATGGGCCGGACCATCTGAACCGTCGAAAACGTTTGCCCGTGCTTCATCGTTTCAGCCAGAACGTTCCAGTGAAGCTAAGCACGTTCACCCCAAGTTACCAAACTACGACGATTTGGCTGCAAGATTTGCAGAGCTTAAAGGAAGGTAGATATCTGAACAGTTTATCCGTAGAAACATAGTATGAGATTAAATATTCGATTACACATTTTGTTCTCTTCTTCATAGTACTTTGTCCCATATTTTGCGTGTATGTTCTGTTTGTTTTCAATAGTTGGAATTGGGAGAGTGACACATTGTTGTGAACCCCAAGAGTTGTTGATCATCTGTTTGTTTTTGGATTTGATTTACCAGGTTATATAAAGTGTCCAATGTGAACCCCAAGAGTGGTTAATCATCCTTTATATAGAGGATGATAGTAATCTTTTACGAAATTTGACATAATATTGACAATAAGATAAGAAAGTGTCCAATTTGATTAAGCATAACGATCATAACTTAATATCAATATATAAATTGAATCATATCTTATCAATTTATCATACACATTTTGATAATTAGACAATATATAAAACTTGCTTAAATTTGG